AGAGGAGGGGGAAGGGGACGGGGCCGGCGCGGGGGAGGAGGTGGTGCAGATCCGGCTGGGGGACAAGTGCTACCCGGTGTGCAAGAGGAAACTCATCGAGCAGAGCGACTACTTCCGTGCCCTGTACCGCTCGGGCATGCGGGAGGCAGGGCAAGGCCAGGAGGAGCAGCTGCTGCGCGGGGGGCTCAGTGCCCTGGGCCTGGAGCTGGTGCTGGACTTCATCAACACCTCCTGCCTGGCCAGGCTGGAGCAGGAGGAGGAGAGCGATGAGGAGCCTCCCTTGCTGGAGGAACTGGTGGAGGCCGCTTCCTACCTGCAGGTCACCCCCTTGCTCCGCCTGCTTCTCTCTCAGGTGAAGCTGGGCAATTGCTTGGAGCTGCACCGCCTGGCTCAGGTCTACGGTCTCCAGGACTTGCACGATGCCTGTCTAGACTTCATGGCTGCCCATTACCATCAGGTGCTGAGGAGGCCTGATGCTCGGCCACATCTCCTTCTGCCCCATGCTCTTCAGCAACACTTGAAGGAGAGGCGGATGAAGGGCACTGCCACCCTTGTGGCCATCGGGGACTTCATGGGTGCCTCCTCCCTCGGCCAGCCTCCTGGCTGTCACCCACAGGTGGAAGCTCCCTGGTCAATGCTGAGGTATGATGAGGAGGCCCAGAGGTGGCTGCCCCTGGCCAACAACATGCCCCCTGATCTGGTGAACGTCCGAGGCTATGGGTCCGCGATGCTGGACAACTACCTGTTCATTGTCGGGGGTTACCGGATCACCAGCCAGGAGATCTCCGCTGCCCACTGTTACAACCCTTGCCGAAATGAGTGGAGTCAACTGGCTTCAATGAACCAGAAGAGGTAACCTGTGCTCCCTGAAACGCATGTGTCCATGCATATTGTCAAAAAACAACTTCTTGAGTCACGTGGTGTTGACTGGATGCAGTGTTGCAAGATGTGATTCAGGCCTCTGGCTGGACCATGAGTCACCAGAGTGTGTTGCATCATGCGATGGGAAGGACTAGCAGGGCTTGGCTATATATTTTGGCAGCGTGCCACTGGGTAGGCCTGGCAGACGTAGACCTTGCCGATAACAGTCATCCAGCAGTGCAAAACTGCAACCACCCTCCTTCTTAGTGACCTGTGCCTGGCACAGGTACTTGCTGTGGCAGCTTGGCAAGGCACAGCAAGTAAGGAGGATGGGCTTCTGGTGTGTGACGCTGGTGAGTAAGGCCTCGGCTGTGAAGAGTGCGAGCAAGGCGCCAGCTGAGTAGGACTTGACCTCATTGCCCTCCATTATCTATAACTGTTCACCTTAGCGTGGTGGTGGGCTCCCACTTTCAAAGCTGTAGCATACAAGCTAGGAGGTGTGTGAAGCCGATTTCCAAAAAACTGCCTGAGCTAGAAATATAAGCGCATATTAAGATAACAAAGACAGAAAGTAAGGATAAAATCCGCCTTTTAGTTTTTTTGTTGTTTGTTTGTTTGTTCGGTGCGTTTTGATTCTTGTACTGTAGATGACAAAGTTTACTGTTCTTGGTAGAAGTGTAACATTTATCAAGGCTAGAGAAAGGTGGAGAAACTTTAATTGGAGCATTCTTCATTGGCTTATAACTTTAAAACTTCACAAAAACCTGAATATCCTGTAGGCCTGTGTTTCAATGCAATAGTCACCAAAAAAAGTCAGAAAAAGATTGTGAGAAATTTCTTCCTATATATTTTTAAATTGTTCGACATTTGTATTCTAAATAATATTCACAATCGTTTGTTGTAGTTTATATTTGAAAGAATGACAGAGAGCAAGGAACACCAAGAACAGATTCCGATACACCTGTCCAAGGTGTTCTGGATTTGCACTACCTAAATCAACTTATTATGGGATTATCAAAATGAAACCTTTTACTTCATTGAAACAAAATGTTTCTATTCATCCAGGATGGGTTTCTTCATTGGTTCAATTTTACTCAAAACAGTGTTTAAACTTTTATCATCTCAATCTGACTCAGAATTGGAACAGAAAAGGATGCCGGAATTGACTATTAAATGGAAAGTCTCTTTTCCATTCAGTAAATTTAATGTTTACCAAGCAGCAGAGACCCTAGTCACAGTGTAAAGCATGTGCACTTTTTATCTGTGCGGTAAAACTGCAGTCTCTTTTCCAGTGAGCTTGCAACCTAAAATCAGGGAGTTGACCTTTTTTTTTTTTTCCATTTCATGTACTGTTTTGAGAATTTAACTAGAATTACTGCATCTGTAATCAGTCATTGGAATTGATGAGAAACAGTGTCTCTCTGGATTGTTAGAAGAGTTTTAAAGAAAGTCTGTTGCGAAATGAGTATTTAGATTTTTTTTTAAGTACTTTCTTATACAGTGTAAATGCCTTTTGCCAGACCCACCAGACCCAGACTGAGGTGGCTTTGAGAACTGAGCCATTTTATTAGGCCTTGAGCTTGCAGTCTTGATTGCATGAGCATGACTGAGAGCACATTAGCTGTAGTGAAAGTGACTGAAGGGGTCAGTCCACACAGTGACTCCTATGTAAACAAATACTGGAATGTGGGTCAAATTGCAAGATGTAGGCATTGGTTTGCATAATGTGCATAGCAAGTAAGATATTATATGTGATGATTCTTTTTCTATTTGAAATAGCTTTTCTGTGTTCTTGATGCAAGATTGACCTTTTTAACATTTTGCAGGTATGGCGTTTGCTTTAGGAGCCAACAGCAGGTAGATTTTAAGAATCATGGGGTTTATCTTCAACAGGAGCAGCACTTACACCAGCCAGTTGTGGATGTGCTGCAGTTGGAGCAGCAGTTTGCTTAGCATTATATTTTTAATTTGTTGCGGCTTTCAGATAAGTAGGACAGTGCTGCTTGGGAAACAGTTATGCAACACTGTCGAAAGAATTTCTGTCATCCCACATGTGATCCCATGGATCAATTTTTATGTACATTGAGGCAGAGTTCTAGCCCCCGAATGAAGCTTTTTATGTGACGTTTGATTTTTAGGTGACTTTTTAACAGTATGTACGTTCTGCCCATGTGAACAGATGCATTTGCCAGGAGAGAAGGTTGATGAATTATGGAAATATTGTTGCATTTAATATAAGATATTATTTGCCCTTAAGAAAACCCTTTAATATTTGTTTCTTTAATTATTTGCATTATTATCATGTAGATCACCAGATTTTTGGGATTCTCTGCACATGCAAAGATGAAGATCATACTTTTAGATGGGAGACAAGAGCCGTCAGATGGATACTCAATACTTTGCAGTCATTCTAATTCATGTTATAGTTAGTATTTTCTTTCTAAGTATAGAGTTCTTACGACAATACTTTCAAATTTGTCCACAATAAGTAACTCCCATATATTACTGCTGTGATAAGCAGCAGTAATAAACTGCTGAAATTCTTAAGCTCCTGTAAGCTTAAGAAAACTTATTACTTACTACCTCTAATTATTATTAGTAATATATTATTACCCTGTTTATGCATGCACAAGGTTGATAAAACAGTTTGCTTAAGGTTGTATAGGATGTTTGCAATGGTCTTGAAACTTGTCATCTTCCAAAGCTAAATCTGGTGCTGGTTACAAATAGTTTCTAGATCCGTGATCTTTTCATTTAAAAGGTGCTGTTGTACTTGCCATGCTGCTGTACTTCGTAGAACTACTTGGTCTTTTTTTGAGGAAGAAACTTCATGTAAAAGTTGACCCACACCAGTCTTTGGGGACAGGAAGAATACAGGGAGCTTTGAGGACTGTTCCAGTAATATACTTGAATGCCTTTCCACAGTTTTATTTATATTGATGCTGTCACTAGAAATTTACCATTCAAAAATAATGTACTTGCAGGATTTTTACTGCCTGTGCCCATTTCGGCTGTATGTTCCATTTTTATTTTCCCTCAGAATATTCATGATAGGTAAATATTCCGTGCTTGTAAGCCCCTGGCTGGGATTCTACACATGCACATGGAACAAGATTTTTGTGAGCAATCTGTGCCTGAACTGCTGCCACTCTGAGGATTTCTGCAGGAGCATAAGAGGAGATATTCCTAGAGAAT